CGTATTATCTGCCACCTATGTTTATATAGCTGTAACATATGTGGCTCTCTTCAATGCTGGACTGACTTTTGTACGTGTATAAAGGGTATGTGATGTACTGTAATATTTCCTTGCAACAATGAGCTTTTTTTCACATGGCCGAATTCCATTTGCCTGGTCCTCTGCACTTGCGTCATTCAATGACCGTGACTTTATATTACTTGATATCGCATCAAGTAAGCCAACAAGACTCGCAACATTATTAGGCTGATGTCAAACTGAGATTACAATAACGTTGACGGAAAGAGTGATGTATAACACACTGAGGTTTATCAGATCGGCTGGAGGTCTGATTAATATTACTTCTAATGATAAGTATAGCTTCGCTCGTTTTACGCACGTACACGGCCATTGATTTTATACACATTCCCCCTAACTTTTAATCACTTTGGCGCGATAAGCAACTTCTTGGCCACCACGTGCCCCATTATGCTAGCCTGATGCTAAACACCGGCTGATTGAGTCTAAATGATTACGGTGTGTTAATCATTAACACGTATACGTAAGTTATGCAGTAAACGTTGCCCGCAAGCTGCTCATTTAGATGATGTCAACAAAGTCCTCTCTCTCTCTCTATAGCTTCAAAAAAAAAAAAAAAAAAATGTGAGCTGTTGTTTCGAGGCTACAAGATCAGGGATAAGGGTTGCCAATGTTGCCATGCCCCGAGCTTCAATTACAATTGGCTCTTCGATCATTGCCAACTACTTACATAGGCACCAATGATGATTGTTCATCGTATGCGTCTCGTGTGATCCACAATGCGATTTTTCCGATAAATCACGCCAATGAGCAATAGAGATGAATAGTGCTGTAATAGTAGACAGTGAATTGAAAAATCCTCAAATGGCGTAAGTTGACTCATTCATGGGCTTGTACCTAATACTCGCATCTTTGCGAGCCTCGCAGGTAGGTATACGAGTACTCATATTTTATATATGATAAGTACGTACAGAAAGAATAAACTGCAGGTGCGCTGACAGTTGCTACATTTTCATGTAACAAGTATATGTATGGATACGTAAAGTACTTATATGGTGCCGAGCAGTTGAACCAAATTTTGGGCTTGCGGTAAATAAGTATACCTACAACTTACCTCGTGCACACATCATTATAAGTACTTTTCAGCCCTCTTTCGTTCAAATTTTCATACCCTGCAGCAGGGTGCGAGAATGGACATAATCAAGAATTTAAGCGTTCGGAGAGCAGGCGAGCAGAAGGCCCCGGGAGCTTGCAAACGCGAGCCTACACACGGCCGAGTCGCGAATCGCGAACACGAGTGGACGACCTCCCGGGGCTTTCTGTTCGCCGCGGCTCGGAAAGACACAATTTTGAGGAAGAGCCGCGCGGGCCCCGAGACCAGGCTGACGTCGAGCCGGTGGATTGGTCCGGTCGAACCCTATCTAGCTCTCATTGGTCCACCGACACCACCGCCGGCACCAAATTTCGGCAGGACCACCCGTTTTGCGGGTCCAAACAGCCTGGCCGCCGCCTGATTCTAATACGCGTCTTTGTTGCCTATCGCGTACACCCGAGCACCTTTGAGCGCGTGCCACCGCCCCTTTGCCCTCTGGGAGCCCGTCCCACGCCGTGGGGACAGTGACACCGTTTTTCCCGAAAAATGACGGAATTGCCGGCCAAGCCGACACTCCGAGGACACCGCTCCGGCCCGCCCTATTCAACGTGGGAACGTATGTAGGTGCGCCGCGTTTTGCCACGACGCGCGTGCGGCTCGCCGGTTATATACACGACTGGCCATCGTCGGACTGCAGGCTTTCCCCTAAAATTTACCGATGACGCGGAGGCTAACCTCGTGCCGAAGGTGGGGGATCCGTGGCGCGGCGACGCATGCGTTCCTGTTGAAAAAGTTCCTCGCGACCGAGCGCGGACGCGCCGACGTCGCGTCCGAGTCAGCTCCGGGTTTTCGTGCGCCCCTGATACGAGGAGGGGCTTGTTGGGACAACCCGCGCGAAACTCGCTCGGCTCTCGGAGCGCGACTGGCTTTTCGGGGCTGATGCTCGCCTGGTGTCCGCGAGCTCGCATGCGGGATGTGGGCACGCACTCGCTGCTGCAATGAGTGTATATTTTGTGCACAACACCCATGGCATTGTCACAACATAACGTTATCATCAGTATTTACCACCTGCGAAAGTAAAGATGATAAATAAAAATTACGTGAATCAGTGGAATTTACTTATACCCGCTGTTTGTTCGCTAGTGACTTGCGTAATTGTTATTCGACGATTACCACCGATAGTGTTATCACAGGAACAAGTAATCTACATGAATAAACTGCACTTCCATAGCCATCATGGGCGTGGCCGTTTTTTGTATCAATAGCTGTATACCCTTATCAAGCTGCGAGTCTTCGTATCGTGTAAAGATAAAGTCAGGCTGACAGTCAGGGACTGACCAAGTGAAGCATTACAAGCTTTATTTGAGATATCCTTGTTTCTGCTCGGGTTGTCCATGTCCAACTCTTAAAGTAACAAAATTGAACAACTGAAATTGTCCAAATTTTGATAAAACTTATGTACAAAATAATAAATTCACGCCTGATCACGTTGTTGATTAATTTCCAGGGTTTATGAGACTCTGTGTATCTCGTCAATTTCAGTATTGTATTGGGATACACGAATGCGTGGTTGGTCTACCATCAATTTACGAGAATAGCAAGTTGATAAGGTCGAAACGAATGGCGTTAGAGATTTGGATTGATTAGATCACTACCTCAGTAAAAGTTTGAGTAAAATTTGTTTTAAAATCGACACTAAATTGTACTTGCACATCAGTGCATCAAAACAGCTCCGGTGGCGCAATGGTAGCGCGCACGACTTCAGGACAAAAGGTTGAGGATCAAATCCAAAGGCCGTACACTGTTGTTTGGGACATTTACCTATTCCTTGAGAACCCAAGTATCTCTTACGTATTAATTTTATCTTAAGATTTTCATTAGCAATGAGTAAGAATTTTCTTTTACATGAAGTCATACGATATCAAAGAATGTACTGAGAAGCAATTTCACCGTAACCCATTTAAGGATCCATTACCTTTTTATAGAGTCGGCACGAAATCATACATAAGCATCGAAAAATGATAAAAATTAATGGTAGAATTTTATGTTACAATTAAATGAACTTTGTAATTGTGACTGAAATCTATCTTAATTTTTTATCCTCGTTGTATTAATAAGACGCCTAATTTATACTATTCGTTGATTATACTCGTAAGGGCCTAAGGCTCTCATAAACATTGACAAATTTCAATTTCTGGATAGCAGAGCTGCAATTCTACCATGCCAATGTCAGCGTAACTAGTTACCGACAGTACCTACCGACGTTGTCCCTAGGTATGCCATACCTCTGACTGTTCACTTGCTTCTCGAGGATCCGAGTTCTCAAAAGAAGAATTAAAGAGATGGTATATCTGTCTCCCTTCTGACTTTTTCATTACAATAATTGTAACCTACAAACATTGTATTTAAATAAGTTATTAAAGTTACAGAATTATTGTTGAACGAATTACTCTCATGTGTTAGTAGTGCCTAAAACTTATGGTGATGTAGAAGAAAGCATAAGAACGGGGCCAGAAATATCGGCGCCGTGGCTTAGTTGGTTAAAGCGCCTGTCTAGTAAACAGGAGATCGGGGGTTCGAATCCCCCCGGGGCCTCATAGAAAATTTTTTTTCTTTTGCAAAAAAATCTTACTAAGTACATCTTCGTCGATGATAAAGTGGGCCTTAATTAATTTTTTATCCAAATACTTGTCTAGACATGATTGGTCAAAAACGGAAGGTTTGTAGATTGAGTTACTACTATGCAGATTTGTTTTAATTGATTAAAGTATTGTGGTCAAAATCTTTCGAATCAAGAATAACTGATTGATTTTTTTGAAGAGTTTGTTGATAAAATTAGCTACATCTTCAGTTGAGTACGTGAATCAAGAGTAAAAAAATTAAAAATTAGAGATTAATAGACCTCAATAATTTTGAATTCATAAGGTAAACAAAAAAGACGACGAGGATGGGATTCGAACCCACGCGTGCAGAGCACATTGGATTAGCAGTCCAACGCCTTAACCACTCGGCCACCTCGTCCTACTGAAGGCCGGGGCGTAAATTCTCATCATGCCTCAAATTTTCGTTTCGCACAACTTGGTCATTCGTGATGTCTGAAAGTAAAACAAAAAAAATTAACTTTTATGCTACCTGATAGGAAATTAATCGTTTGATTGATATTTATTGACCTTTTTTTTTGCTACAAACTTGAACCACATTGTTTATAAATTTAACTTTGTTTTTAAGTTGCATCCAGAGGTACATAACAGTAGATTTTCTAAATAATGTACATGTTGTGAATAGTACAAACTACAGTTGCACGTAAACGGCTTTTGGATAATATTTAGAACCATAATCGTTTAGCAACGACCTTGCACAGGAAGTCAATCATGTACAATAATGTATGCAAACAGGTGATGCAATGCAAATGATTAAATTTAAATATTAAAAGAGGTCAACTTTCACTTTATTACTTTAAAACATGCGTAGCACATACAAGATTCATAAACATGCGTATAACGATGCGTGTAAAGATTATCTGAAAACTAATGCGCTCAAAAAAGTAAGTGTATCTAATGCGGTTGAGAAAATATACAAGCCCGAATGGAAAGTAGAACGCAACTGCTGTTTTGATTGTTTTTGTATAAGCTATTGCCTATAAAGTACGTTTCAAAGTAAGCAGTAAAAAAGATAATTGTTTTAACAAGTTTCTAAGCTGATTTTTTGTTTTCAACACACGAAATAACCAAAAATGATTAAAATAGTTAAAGCGATGATATACTTTGACGTGATTCAATTGTTCATAATGGTAGGATTTCCTTATCAAAGTTTTCGATCAGTTGAGCTTATGACGGCAAGTGGTTGGCTAATGGATAAAAATAAGTACTACTGCAACGAACAAATAAGTATGTAGTCACTGGAAAAATATAAGTTTATACGTGCGGTCTCACATCTTACATAACCTAACTAAGTATGAAGCTCGTATATCGTATTGTAACGAGTATCATCGTTGTGGACACCGGTGGCTGGCATGGACGAACTTTCATACTCACCTGTTTACGATGAAAAAACGCTACATTTTTTGGATCAACAGTTTTCACGAATTAATGGTGAGCATTACTTATATGATTAATTTAGCAAAACTGCAATCATTTAGTTTTCTCAAATAAATAATTAAATTACGTTGAAATATGATCTGATTAATAATGCCAGATTGATTTGTGATTTTTACCTTTTTAATAGACGAGTGTTACGTGGACCATGCAGGTGCTACATTATATTCCAATGAACAGATAAAAAAGTCTTCGGATGACTTGTTGCAATCATTATATACAAATCCTCATTCTCATGGCGTGAATGGCAATTTAACTGAGGATATTGTTGACAACGTTCGATATAGGTATAACCATATATTAAATCAAGTATGATTACTCTTTTTCGGGCGTTTTGAAATTATTGCATATTCTGGCGAAATTAACGAGCTATTTAAGTCAACATTTGTTACTTCTAAAACTTATTAAAAAATCAAGCTTCTGAGTTTCGTTAAATGCCAAAGTAAAAAACTAACTCTCTGAAATTATTTTTCCAATATTGTAATGCGCTAAGTTTTTTTTTTTTAATGCTACGTATTAATTTCATTATAGAATTGAGCGAAAGAGTATGTAAATACCTTTAAACTGACACTGTGTATTTTTAAATATTTCATTTTAAACATTTTTTACCTTCGTAAAAATGAATTTTTAGCAAGAAAATAATAAGAGTTTTGCTTTCTTATACTTCTAAATTAGAATTATATTTCATGGTCTTAATTTTAAAAATAACTGGTGCATAAATGTATCTTTAACAATTTTAAAAAATTATCTAGCTCGTTTTAGCCACCGAAAAGCAGATGTAGATATAGAAATGGTCAATTACAGATGAAAAACAAAACATTTTATCGGACATATGCTAACCGAGGTCGTTTATCAAGGCTTTATAATATTTTTATCTCATAATTGAGATTCATAAAATTTGTAACGCTTATAAAATGTATTTTTTTTTTTTTTTGTTGCAAGATAAGAAAATTTTGTATCATTGTAGTTTTTGTTTTCTAATATTTGATTTATACATTGATTATATACATTTTAAGTAAACATATAGTTCTATTAGGAAAACATTTCAGAGATTAATTTGTATCCGAACTCAATACGTTACACCAAATAATTATGATTTTAATTTTAAACTTTTGAGAAGAACTATACTTTTTTATACCATTTCGTACTAAAAAGTATTTTTTCAGAATTCTAGATCATTTTCATACAAATCAAGATGAGTATTCGGTTATTTTTACATCTGGTTCAACGGCATCATTAAAACTTGTAGCTGAGACATTTAATTTTAATAATGATGGATCGGCTGAAGCGGCTGGAAATTTTGTTTACCTTCAAGATAATCACACGTCTGTCCTTGGCATGCGGGATGTAACTTTTCAAAGAGGAGCCAAGGTTGTTTGTATTGACCACATCAGTGCCTTTAAACTTCTGGGCTGCAACAACCGGAATAATGATTCGCCTAAAGATCGGAAAAATAATTCTCTCTTTGTTTATCCAGCTCAGTGCAATTTTTCAGGATTGAAGTATCCCTTAAATTGGATTAAAAATATAAAACAAGGATGCCTGAATGCCCATGTGAAGACTAATAGTAATTGGTTTATTTTACTTGATGCTGCTTGCTATGCTGGTACCAGTGATCTCAATCTTTCATATTATAAACCAGATTTCATTTGCCTGTCATTTTATAAGTTATTTGGCTATCCTACTGGCTTGGGGGCTCTTCTAGTCAAGAATGATAGTGCTTTTACTTTACAAAAAACTTTTTATGGTGGCGGAACAGTGGATATAGTTCTTAGCTCTAAAATGCATCATGTAAAAAGACAATCGTTAAGCCAGAGGTACGATTGAATATTTTATTATAATTGGTTTTTCAACGAAGAAACTTATCGTTACGTGGAAAATTTTTCAGATTTGAAGATGGAACGATTTCCTTCTTGTCAATCATTTCTTTACAATACGGGTTTCAAATACTATCCAGTATTACTATGAAAAGTATAAGTGAACATGTATTCTCACTGGCTCGATATTTACATCATTCTTTGCTACTTTTGCATCACGAAAATGGTGCACCAGTGGTGAAATTGTATGCAGACACAAACTATAAGGACAAAAATTTACAAGGTGGAATTGTGTCTTTTAATTTGCTAAGAGCCAATGGAGACTATGTAGGATACATGGAAGTTTCAAACATAGCAGCTTTACATAAAATTCATCTAAGAACTGGATGTTTTTGTAACCCTGGGACATGTCAACGCCACTTGGGTCTCACTGATAGACAAATTTTAAAAAACTATGATACAGGATTTACTTGTGGTGGTACAAGTGATCTTATTAACGGAATCCCAACAGGAGCTGTTAGAATATCTTTTGGCTACATGTCGACAGTCGAAGATGCGAAAATAATTATTAAAATGATAAAACAGTGCTTTGTTAGCGGAAAAGAAGTTTTGAAGGTTCCAAAATGGTGGAATGATTTTGAGTTTCAATTGAGCACGAAATATAAAGGAGTAGTTACAAAAATTGATAATGATTTCAGTCCAATTAAAACTGTATCAAACGAAAAGTCTCCAGATTGCCAAAATGTAATTACTAATTATAACATTGAAGTGAGAGACAGGAATTGTAGATTAGCTAAAATATTTATCTATCCCATTAAATCTTGTGGGGCATACGAAGTTCAAGATTCTTGGAAGTTAACTTCCAAAGGATTGCTGTATGATCGCGAATGGATGATTGTAACTTCCGCAGGAGTTAGTTTAACCCAAAAACACGAAGTAAGACTTTGTTTAATAAAACCAGTTATTGATTTGAAAAATAATGAATTGATATTAAATTATCCAGGTATGTGAAAAAAAATACTGTCACGCAAGATTCCCATAAGTTGTACAAAAAAATTTTTAATACCCTTAACTTTGATAAATAAATTTTAGATGTTCCATCGATTAAAATACCATTACTCATTTCATCATACACAGCAGAAAAAAACGAAATATGTAAAGGAAAAGTGTGCCGACATAAGGTTGAAGGAATAGATTGTGGAATTGAAGTTTCTGAATGGTTGAGCTTAGCTTTGGGCAGACCTAATCTAAAATTGATCAGGCAGTGGGGATCAGTTAAGCAAGAATTATCTTTTGCTAGTCAAAGCCAATATTTATTGGTCAATCTATCCAGTATATCATGGCTTGCAGATAGAATTCCAAAAACTTCAGATTTGGATAAAAGTACAATGTTGCACAGATTTCGAAGTAATTTTGCCATTGAAGGCTGTGCTCCGTTTAAAGAAACAAACTGGAAGATGCTTGAAATTGGGAATTGTCAATTTGAGGTACATGATTTGACTTAGATTAATCTCAAAATTATTTTACATTTATTAAATAATCTTATTATGAAACTCAGGTTGAAGGAATATGCAACAGATGTCAAATGATATGTATTGATCAGAAGACTAGTGAAAAAACTGTGGAACCTTTACGTACTTTGGCTGAAGAATTTTGTGGAAAAATTAAATTCGGTATATATTTAGCCAACAAAAATAATAAAAATAATGTATTAAAAGTGGGAGAAGAAATTAATTTCAATTAAAATATATTGTATAGTTGTATCAGTAAAGCTTGAAATTATTCAGCTTTATAAAAAGTAGCTAAAATTTTTTATTGTATTTATGTACATTATAACTCGACTCTATGTTTTTCGAAAAATATATGCAACTTTGCAATACACAAAGGTATATTCTTATTACGAAAATTTATACTTAAATCTATTGGAACGAATAAAAGTAAAAAATTTGACAAATAATAAATAGAAAAAGTAAATAGCTAAGAAATTATACAGTCAATTGGCTGCTGTTTTTGTATTTTTAAGACTGGTTTTCCTTCAGATACGTCCTTTACCATGTTGGTGACTTCGTTAAAGTCTGGAAAAGCCATTGTTTGCAGTTTTGAATAGACTAGTTCATCATTTACTTGTACTTCGAAGGAAGCTGTAAGACAAGGGTTAATATAGTTTTAATCCAAAACCAGTGTGAAAATTTACAATATCGATAAATATTCTGTCAAATTATAACTTAAAAATTAAAATATCGTTTAACCTTGTCTTCCTGGTATCCCACTAACTTTTGCTTCTGGTACAGACTCCTTAATTTTTTGAGCCAATTCGACGAATTGTTTCAAGTGACCACAAGTTCCGCTGGAAATTTTTATTTACCTTTCAAATGTATTAGAGTACACATATTACATCATAGAAAGATGTCGTACACCTATATTAATTATTTTATAAAGAAAACTGACTGAACTTACCAGTATTCAACATTTATTGATACTTGTAAATTTTCAGACATACTGTTGGGCTACTTAAAAAGTCGTAACTGTTAATCGCTGTGTGCAAAAGGTAAAAAAAATTGATTATATGAAGCCACTTGTATATTTACAACTCCAAGCAGACAGCCGTCAACGGAACTCTCACGTGCTCATAGGATTGCACTGCATCATGTAAATGTGTTACAACTATATAAATACACAGGGAGCTCCTTGAAAGTTATTTTTACTCTCACAGCTCGTTTTCCATTGAAAATTTTTAAATAATTTCATCCTGAAAAATATTATAAAAGTACGAAAGCAATTTTATGCACCAGATAAAAAGTTGTGATAATAGGTTTGAAATGTTTGTACGTGAGTAATTTATGATTTTTTTGACGTGAAAATTTTCATCGATAAATTACCGTGGGTGACCCAGTAAGAGCCCTTGATGTTAATTAAACGTAGTTCCCGAAAATCACGCATAGGTGGAGCCACGCGCCGCAGCTTGCACTAAATTTCGCGCTCTACACGGCAAACGGAGAGTTACAGCCGCAGTTTGATTATTTGTTGAGCAAACCGTTGTTGCTACTCGTATAAAATATGCATACGTGTACGCGTTAAAGCATCTTTTGTCGTGTTTTTAAAATAATATTCTGATCTCATCCACAGAACTTGATAGCTTCTTGTATAAACTTGAAATCTCGTTGTACACATATACGGACAAAAACGTCCAACAGCTGTATAGTTCGTGGATCACAACTTGAACTAAGTATACTTACTTATTCGTATCAATCGTGTAATAGACAAGGCCGACTTTGTCGAGGCGTTATGGCGGCGTAAGGATAGACGGGGAAACACTCCGGGCTGGTCGAGTTATCATCTGGAATGGGTAGTAGCGATTGTTTGCTCAAGTTTCTCGCGCTCGGGGACTCGGGCGTGGGAAAAACGAGCTTTCTATCGTATTACAGCGATGGCACGTTCAACTCGAGCTTCCACTCGACCGTCGGCATCGACCTCAAGGAGAAGCGACTTGTAAGACAAATATCCACTCCCCCCCCCACCCGTGCTTTTTCTTATCTCTCAAGCTCCCCCCAAGCGCCTTCGCTTCCGAAACCTTTTTCCGGCTGGAGCAAATTTTTATCCCGCAAATTTGCTCCCACCTCCGGTTCTTTGCGCTTCCTCGCGTGAAGTGATACCTATGCTTACTTAGCTCTTCTTTTAGCGGCACATTTGCCTCTTGCCATAGCCACAAATTTTCTCGCCGCAATAGTCGAAGAACAATATTTATCCAAAAGCTCGCCAATCGTGCGCGTCTTTTAATCGCGAGAAACTTGATGGCGAGTGATTCAACGTGGTGTATACCAATGTGTATGTTTATTATTATTATTTTTTTTTTCCTTCTATGCAGGTGTACGAGTCGATGGACGGACGCAGCCAAAGCGTGCACTTGCAGCTGTGGGACACGGCAGGCCAAGAAAGTTACGTGATAATCGTTGACGTTGCTCGAAAACTTTGCATTGCTATTTTTTTATTTTACCGCCTCTTGAGCATCAATTGCGACAACAAACGGCAGTTAAGGTAATTCACCTCGTACAGTGTTTTAATTACACCTACTGTTTGCCTGTGCAGGTTTCGGAGCTTGACCACGGCATTTTATCGAGAATCCATGGGCTTCTTCCTGATGTTCGACTTGACAAGTGAACGGTCCTTTCTCTCGTTACGAAACTGGTTGGATCAACTTAGGGTATTTATTGTTATTGTGGATTTTACAATTATAATAATACAATAAAGTTAAGCGTTTCTATAAATTGGACGGTAGTTATATAAAAAAAAAAAAATTAAAAAAAAAGTTGGTAAATGATACAAATGGGGGTATGATGAAACAAAATTTTTAATAGAGATATCATCTGAAAGAAAGGCTTGAGTATCTTGCGTTAGATCGAGTAAAAAAAAATGAAAAAAAAAAAAAAAAAACTCATACCTCCTGAACGAATCAAACTCTAATTGAACTTTGTACGGTGAAATGCACGCAGATGCACGCCAACTGCGAGGAGCCCGATGTGGTTCTGTGCGGCAACAAATCGGATCTCGAGGACCGACGGATAATTAGCGAGCAGAGGGCTCGCCAACTGGCGGAAAAATACAAGTAGGCTTGCAGATCTCCCACTTATTTCCCACTTACGAGACGGACAGTAGTAGCAGAGAGAGAAAGAGAGGCACTTTTAAATTGCTTCTTTTTTTTGCTGCCATCATCATTCTCTCCTATATATACAACTATCGTCGTAAATAGTAAAATTGCTTCTCCTTCTCGTACCGTTTTGCGAGATTGTACTTGTTTGTTGTGTTGCTTTTTTTGAATTTTATTTTTATTTTTTTTTAAACCATTAAAATTTAATATTACATCTGAATATGCTAACTACGTGATGGATATACATGGTAAAGCATGTGTCGTGTGTTGACGTGAAATTAAATTTGACGGCTAGTTTAATTAAATAATGTATAAACTTTTGTGTCCACACAATTATCCAAAAATAATCGAATGCACGTCAAAGTTCTCCACATAATTACGTATTTACACGCGCTTTTGCACCTTTATATTAACTGACGGACGTGTAAATTATGTTATTATGGAGATGATTAGGGGGATATGTGAATGATTGAAATTATTAATATAAAATAATTCCATTAGTTTTGAATAGTGCATCGAAAATATTTCAAAAGTATTTTTTTTTTTTTCTGTATAAAACGTGTATGCATAACGTGAAAGTGAATACTTGATCAACTTATTAGAATAATAAGTTTTTGCCACAAATATAATGATTTATTATTTGTGCTGAAAAAAATTTTTCATATACATATACAGCTTGCTTTTTCATATACAGCTTGAAACACACTGCTTAAAAGTTTTTTTTTTTTTTGCAGCAATAAAAATGCATGAATGTTTCAGAGAAAAAACAAAGTTGAAATAAAAAAGAGAAAATGTTATGTTAAAAAGTATTCAAATATTTTATTTCAGATACTTTGGAATCAACTTTGATATTCATAACGAGTTGCACCTAATTGACAGAAAAAAAGCTTTTTTTAGGTGTTGAAAAATAATCCGTAAAATAATTGTACCCAAGTCTGCGAGTATACGTACAAGTGATAAATTGTAACCACCGCTTGATTATCAGCTTGGTGTACTTGGAGACGAGTGCAGCTACTGGCCAGAATGTAGACAGAGCCGTTCAGATACTATTGGACCGTGTGATGCGTAGAACGGACGCTGCTGTTGAAAGATTGATTCGACCCGTCAACCGAGTAAAGCTACCCTCCGCACAGAAGCCATACAGCCGCAGAAGGAGATTGTGCCGTTGCTAGACGACGTTAGACTTTTTTTTTATTTTTCAGCTCTATTATCAACATTATCTTCTTATTGTTGTTGGTTAAATTATCAATGTGTGTAATCCATCGTCATCGGAATAGATCAATGTGCGAGCATTTATACGTTTTAGTTTTTTTCTTGTGGCTCATCTCGTAAATCATAAAATACCTACAAACTTATTCATTCTTATTTCATTGAAATTTTTAGAGATTCATTTGTATACTATTTCAACAACTGCGGATTCACATGTTTTATTGTAAGTCGCTGACTACATTAGTATAGCGGGTCTAATGAAGCTATTAACCTTGAAAAAAATGGAACATTGTCAATTTTATTAGATCTCTGGTTGCACTTACTGGAGGGTCTCGCCGATAAGTCGATTATTCTCGAGTAGAGAGCCAAGTGGCTCTTGGAATCATCAACGGCTCGAAACTGTAAGAAAAAAATTCAACACCATTTCAACTTTTATTTCACAACTTTCTCTGAATACTTGCCCCCTTAAGTATATACGCACTTAAGCAATTTGAGTCTCTCAGCTTCTAAAAGCAACAAATATCCGACGGTGCGTGCATGGGGATCCATTTGGGCTATAAAAATGCTGTTCCTTAGTAAGTGCTACTAATTACTTTTTCTTAAAGAATTTTTGAAAAAAAAAAAATAAACCCACACTCACGATGAGTTCTTACTGCACCCCTCAAGACGGTAAAATTATTATTTATACATGAATGATTGCAATCATTGACGCATGTGAACCTATGACTGAATTAAAATATTTACATGAACAACTGATGTCTATACATGCGCATAGGTGAAACGTGTGTTTCACAGTGTAAGCTTAAATGTATATTTTCCAGATTTGGGGTTGAAAAGGCGTTGTTCATACCATCACGTTGACACGATGTTCACATATTGTTAGTTTTGCTGATTAACCCAGAGTTTTGGATTGTTGTCGTGATGCACACGTACCCATGCATTACAGAAACGAATGTTTGTTGCGCATTGTTTTACAAAGCTTCGTTGATTGATTCAAATAAGCATTTTTGTTTCTTTAGTTTGGAGCTGCCGTGCCGCATAATTTCACAGAGCAGGTATATCGTGTCGAGTGAAATTTATTCGCGACTGTGCAAGCTTTGCGACACCGTACTTTTTTAACGAATATCTGCAAATGGTCAAAGGCGAGCACCGGCTTGCGCAAAGACCAAACGAACGCAAATTTTCTCGCCCTAACTGGATTTCGCGATTCGAAAATTTTCAATCTCAATTTCGCGACGTCTAAAGCGAGTAAGCACGGGATGCAAGAAGCCAGCAGGGGGGCCCGGGCTATCTATAGGTTCAAGTATGGAGCGACACGGCGCAAAAGTTCCCGAAACCTTTATGGGAGTTGGATGAAAGTTTTCGAGTCCGGCTCTCTTGGTCTCAATTATTAGGCCAGAGGACGGCTATTTATGTAAGCTGATATACCAGCTAGTGCCGCTGCATGAGTCAGCCGGACGTATTTACGAGCCCCGAACAAAGCGGGGGAGAACTTGCTGCTCCTCCTGTCGAGTACACCGGGGGGTGTATACCTACTCCTGCCGGGCGAAGTTGCTCGGGAGTATCAGCAATGAAAGAGTCACTGGCTTTGTCTGTGGCTTCCTGTGCTCTTTTACGCGCACCCTCGGGAATTTTTTTCCCGTACTTATCTATCCGTCAAAGATACAATCCAACAGCATTCATACATCACAACACGTTTACAAATATTTCGATGACTCGTATCGCTTGATTTTGCAGTTCGAAGTGACATCTACGAGCTGACGTTGACAAAAATCCGTTTTGATATTATTCGTGAAGAAAATTTTATAATACTGAAGTACCCGGCATTAGCTTCAAACGAAGGTTCATTCCCGAATAAAGTGCATTCTTATTGCTGGAAAAGTTTTTTGTTCGCCACTCTTCACCATACGACATCAAGAACAAATTTCTTCCTGCCAGATAAGTACAATGCATTTCAGAGATATTAAAGCTCATCGTAAAATGTATGGAACCAAAGTTTTTTAATATTTCTTGAAATACTTTGTGCAAACGCTTGGTTTTTTCTGTTAAAAGATATTTATTCGAACACAGTTTTACAAGTAGCACCTGAACTTGAGAAAATTTTCTTGGCATTAATTAATATTGTATTAAATTGCCAGAAAAAAAAAAAAAAAAAAAAAAAAAATAACAAAAGTCAACGTGCTTGCAGCTCCTGGCGTTGATAAGTACAAAGGCTATGTATATAGCTCCAACATCAAAAGGATAAAAGGATGGCCCCACCGGGCGACGCCAAAAGAATTATTAATCAGAGGGCTAATTAGACCCTTTGCTCGTATAACTTGTAAAAGGTACCAGCAGCAGGTTTCAATCCGCTCTATTTTCTTTGTTCTTGTTCCTATGCGTATTATATTTGTACAAACGCTTTTTATGTTTCACTAAGCCTGTATAAAACTCTTTTTTGGTAAAAAAAAAAAAAAAAATTAAGTCGCAAATTAATGCTCGCGTATACGCAAGTCCAGTTACATATTACACATGTACTAGACACGTAGAGCAGGGGACGCCGTTAATCACGCTCGGATGAGCATATAAACGATAACACATAGTACACACGTGTATACGTATGTAATGTAAGCAGTATAGAGGGCGAGATATCGTGGCCTTGTAATATATATATGTATAAACATACGTATCACACGGTTCGGTGCGCGAAACATGCGGGTGAAAAAGGCCCCCACTTTGCTCGTACCTCCGCGGTCTTTTTGTTCTGAATAATGTACAATTATACTTTGGTTACACCACGGCATGGCGAAGCGTGAATGATACGAACTCGCGTACATACGTTATACCAACCAAGTCGTCCGATGCATAATGAAAAAAAAAAAAAAAAAACTTTTGCGCATTGTACAACAGAGTCGCGCCGTTTAGTGATTATACTTATCCATCGCTGCAAGCACCATCATATAGGTAAACGCCATCCCGTATAGAGACTACCAACTCTATTAGACGCATATTACTTCTTTATTTTTGCTGTCTCGCGCTTTCATATATCCCGCAGAGGTTTCACCGCCGCGTTCGAGTGCAAACAATGCTCCGAAGCCGATACACGCCTCGAGGGGGAAGGTCGCGTCGTCGATGCCGCCACATCGGAGAAAATCCAATTGCGCGCAGTAAGTACAATTACATGTACCATCCACACCTTTTCCTCCTCCTCGGCACTTGTGCTTTACAAGCATAAGTTCACGAAGACAGCGGAAATAAGCCCCGTGTGCATGATATTTTGTACTTACCTATATACATACCCATTTCTACCGTATACCGCTGATACTTTTATTAGTCATAATCAAACTCCGACTGTAAGCTACACTAGCTTCCATAAGGAGAGAAAGTTGACGTAATACAGATTGTTTTTTTGTCTTCCCTCTCGAGAGAGAAAAAGCACACTAGATGTAATATACTAGGGAAGCGAACGGGGCGATATGGGCCGCTTCGTTCGAGATTGCGAAACACCGCGAGCTTATAACACATGCATCGTAGGTACCGTCAGTCGTGCGTGTACAAAATATACAGGTGCATTGTCGCCCAATATACCCGCGTATGTATATTGCGTAAGGTATACAATCCATCCGAGAAAGGGGAAATGGAACGAGCTTGGCGATAATGGGTCTCCTCCGGTGAAATGGGACGAGGGGTAGTAATGTGCACGTGCGTGTAAACGCCGTACAAAGGGTGTGATGTCGAGTCGCGGAGTATATATATATATATAGGTATGAGCACCGCCTACCCACCGAAGCTGCTAAAATCTGTACGACTCCGTGCGGTGGGATCGAGGTAATGTAGCAGAGGCCACTTCGCAAGCTCCTTGTGCACACACACATTATATACCTGTATCCCTTGGCCCCGTCGTGAATCGATCCTCTTTTCTCCTCGAAAGCTATGGGCGGGCTAAAGGTGTCGGTGAAAGCTACTCTATTCGACGGCTCCTCTTTACCCCCAACTTTTGTGCATGTATATATATAGCCACGCAGAGCTAGCTCATCGTGCCCCAAATCTATCGTTTTCTTTGTTTTTTTCTCCCCCTTTCTTCGGACGTATGTACGATATATAGGTATCCTTTTTGGGGAAAAGGCAGAGACGCATCACCCACGGATAGGTCGAAATTTTCGATTGTTTCTCACCGGAGTATCACGTTACAGGCACCCATGTGTACACACACACTTTTAGGTAAAATGTACATGTATATATGATGGGTAAACGAGAACTCGAGGATAATATTATTATACGGAGAGAAGGAGAAAGGGCCTGCTCGGCGGTATCCGATTTGGGAACGGGTATACGGTGGAGTTCGGTATTATCAAGATGTATCTCTCGGCAACGACGTCTGTTTGTACACATACGTACCCGCATAATGTGAGAATGGGCCATTATGCGCGAGAGAGAAATGGGGATACAAGGGGAGAGATGTCGACTACAAGGGTACAGATATACGTATAATATGTAGATCGCGGAAAGCCAAAAGAAAAAAAAGGACCTGCATCCGAACGGATAGAGAGCTGAATTGTACACATGCACCGACGCGAGCCCGACGTTTCAATGGAGAGCCCTGATTTTGATTTATCCGTGCACGCGGTGGCATTTCTACGCGTGTTCGCACACAATACGCGGTCTCTTTATTTTTGTCCGATCGCGTATACTATACGATCGTTCCCCATATTTATACGTTACCGTCTTTGCACACAAAAGGTTATACATGCAATATGTCTATATATAGGTACATGTACGGCTCCTGATAATTCAACTCCACCCGGCGACAACTCGATCGTCGTCGGTTCTGCGATGCGTAAAGTATATGCGCGTCTTGCTCCTACTCGGTCTCTGTATACCTACTTTGTACTTGGCCATCGGAGACTGGGGAAAAAACTCACAATGGTACAGAGCGAAAGGAGGGCCATTCCGCGCATTGTAACTATATACGTATACGCGCACGTACACCTGCGGGGCCATCCGCGCGCACGATAAAGAATAAGGAGAAAATTCGTCGTGCTCAGCAGCGGCTGGCTCTGTGAGCGCGCGCGTGTTTGTAATAGAATAAAACAGACTGCATCAGAGCG